GGAAAGCCACATGCAAAAGAATGAAACTAGACTGTTGCCTATCACCACACACCAAAATTAACTCAGAATGGAGTATAGACCTGAATATAAGACCTGAAACAAGAAATTGCATAGAAAAAAAAAAAAACAAAAAAAACAAAGGAACTAAACTCAAGGACCTTGGACTTAAAGAGGATTTTATGAATTTGACCTCAAAGGCAAGGGAAGTAAAAGCTAAAATAAATGAATGGGACTACATCAAACTAAAAAGCTTCTGCACACCAAATGAAACCTTCAGCAAGGTAAAGAGACAACCATTCGAATGGGACAATATATTTTCAAACAACGTCTCTGATAAAAGGCTAATATCCTAAATATACAAAGAACTCATACAACTCAGTAAAAAAAAAAAAAAAAATCCAGTTAAAAAATGGACAGGACCTGAACAGACACTTCTCCCAAGAAGACATACCAATGGCCAACAAATGTATGAAAGGATGCTTAACATTGCTAGCTATTAGGGAAATGCAAATCAAAACCGCAATGAGAGGGGTGGCTCTATAGTGTAGTGGTTAGCACATCTGCTATACACACAGAAAGTCCTGGGTTCATGCCCCAGGTGGAGCCACGGGCCAGGCTCCGGGTGCGCTGCCCCGCCCCCCTAGTGTGCCAGGGATGACAGCCCCAGGGACGCCTGGCCCCAGGGGCACCAGGCCCCGGGTACACGCAGCAAGCTTATGGGAAGAGAAGCCCGCCTTCAGAGATCCAGTTAAGGGGAAATGGAACACCCATAGGTCAAGGTTGGAAGTAGTGGGTAGGATTAAAGAGAGGGAAAAAATAAAACTAAAATACAATAAAGGAATTTTAAAAAACACACAATGAGATACCATCTCATACTTACTAGAATGGCTATAATCGACAGGACAAGTAATAACAAGTATTCGAGAGGATGCAGGAAAAAAAGGAACCCTCATACACTGCTTGTGGGACTGCAAATTGGTACAGTCACTATGGAAAACAGTATGGAGATTCCTCAAAAAACTAAGAATTGATTTACCATATGATCCAGCAATCCCTCTGCTGGGTATTTACCCCTAAGACTTGAAAACATATATCCGAAAAGATATTTGCACACCAATGTTCATAGCAGCATTATTCATGGTGGCCAGGACATTGAAGCAACCGAAGTGTCCTACAATAGATGATTGGATAAAGAAGCAGTGATACATATATACAATGGAATATTACTCAGCCATAAGAAGAGATGAAATACTGCCATTTGCGACAACATTGGTGGACCTTTAGAAAATCATGCTAAGCGAAATAAGCCAGACAAAAAAAGTCGAAAACTGCATGATATCACTTGTATGTGGGATATAAACCTAAAAGCGACAAACAAACAGGACAAACAAACAGAGATTCACGGACGTGGACAGTAGACTAGTGGTTACCAGAGGGTAGGTGGGGAAAGGGGTACATAGATGGGGTAAAAAGGGTCAAATATGTGATGACAGAAAGAAATCTAACTATGAGTGGTGAACACACAATGCAATATATATACCTTACTGTTGAATTGTACACTTAAAACTTACTGGATTTTGTTAATCAATGTCACCATAATAAAAAATAAAAAGTAAAAATAATTTTAAAAATATACTAAAAAATACATGGTGACAGAAAAAGACTTTGGGTGGTGAACTCACAATGCAATATACAGATGATGTATTATACAACTGTACACTTGAAACCTATATAATTTTAATAACCAATGTCACCCAAATGAATTTAATAAAAGTTCAAAATAAGCAAGCAAACACTTGGAACATAGTAGTTGCCTGATGTTTTTAAAAATAAGAAATGTAAATAAAAAATTTTTTTAAACAATATAAAATTGAGTAGCTTAAAATAACATTATTATCTCACAGTTTCTGGGCATCAAGAATTCAGGTCCTCTGGGCCAGGGTCTCTCACAAGCTGCAATTAAAGTTTAGGTTAGGGCTGTTGTCATCTCAAGTCTCACTGGAGGGAGGATCCATTACCAAGCTCACTCATGTGGGTGCTGGCAGGATTCAGTACACCACGGGCTATTGGACTGAGGCCCTCCCTCAGTTCCCTACTGCGTGGGCCTCTCTACTGGGCAGTTTGCTTTGTCAGAGTAAGCAAATGAGAAGTGTCAGAGAGTGTTGAAACTAGACAGAAGTCAGTCTTTTGTAACCTTGGATATCCCATTACTTTTGATGGATTTTATCCAATAGAAGCAAGTCTCTACTTCTAGCTCACACTTGAGGGGAGATACACAGGCAAGGCCTGATTACCAGAAGGTGGGATAATTGGAGCCATTTCAGAAGCTGCCCAGAACACACACAAGTATACTTTCCATTTTAGACATTGTAGTTTTCATCTCTAGAAGTTCGATATGGGTCATTTTTATATCTTCCACATCAACTTAATGTGAAATCTTTCCTGTAGCTTTGTGAACATATGGAATATAGTTACAAGTTTTAACGTCCATTGTACTAATTCTATCAACTAGGTCATTCCTGGGTCCATTTGATTTTCCTTTTCATTATGAGTCATATTTTCCAGGCCCTTCACTTGCCTGGTAATTTCTGATTGGATGTCAGACATTATGAGTTTTACTTTATTGGTTGCTGGCTATTTTTGCATTGCAATAATTAGCTTTTGTTCTGGGATGTGGTAAGTTACTGGGAAATAGTTTGATCTTTTCAGGTCTTGCTTTTAAACTTTAACAGGACCAATACAGCACGAATTTAGGTCTAACTTTTCACATAATTGAGGCAAAACATCACTGAAAACTACCCTGTGGATTATGAGGTTTTTCACTCTGGCTGGTGGGAAAAGGGAATAGTCCAGACCCTGGGTAAACTCCTGGTAATCCTTTCATATGGTTCATTCCCAGCCTCTGGTAGCTTCCTTATATGCCTGTGCTAACCATGCTCAGTGGAAGACTTGAGGGACTCTGAGCAAATCTCTGTAGTTCTTTGTGCAGCAGTCCTATTTGGTACATTGTCCTTGCAAATTCTATCTGCCATAGGGTGTAAGAGCTGATTCAGGGAAAAAGCAAGAGGATAGGATAACAAGGTAGATTGTTACCAGTGAGCAGTTCACTCACAACTTTCCTCAAGGCATAAACAGGCAGGGCTAGTGTTCTTTTTAAGTCCATAACCTTTGAAAAGAGTCCAAGTCAACAGTCACTGGGTGCCTACTATATGCCAGATATTGGGGTAGAGACACAACTCAGACTAATAAGATACACATGTAAACACCAAAAAACCATAAAGGACATAGCACAGTAGAGGATAATATTAGGGGTAGGAGCAGGAGTTGGGCTTCCTGAAGATGATCTCTCAACTTACTTTAGAGAATAGGAATTTGTTACATGGTGTCAAATAAATTTTAAAAAATCCAGACTTGGTAAGGAGAGACTTTATTTGAAAGAATTATTGCAAAGAGGGAGGGCTATTGCAATGCGGAGAACGCATAAGATCTGGGTCTCGAGGGTTAGGCAAAAAAGTTTTTCTTCTATAGGGAGGAAGAAACAAGTAGAACGAGGGTGTCAGGAAGTAGGATAAATGGGAGTGGCATGGTCGGACAATAGATGAGACGATACTTTACCCTGAGTCTAGCCTGTTCTCAGGAGGGGCTGTCGCCTAAGGGTGAGCCAAAGTCCAATGGCACAAGGGAAGGAGAGATTCTTAAACAAGGTTTGAGTAACAAGTATTTTGTTCCAACTGATCAGTGGGGATAAGCCATTCGACTAATCCTCTGAAGTAAAGAATAGTAATTTGGAAAGTCTCTGCCCTTGTCACAGGTGAACAGCGGCCAGCCATGAGTCTCATCTAAGTCATATGTGAAGGGTGGTTCTTTGCAGTAAGCTGCTTTTCAGAACACAAATGATGGGGGATTTCTTAAACAGTCCATTTTCTAGGATCATAAGGCTCAGTAAAAATTCAACATTGTCAGGAGACAGGTTAAGGAACAAGAAAACAGTAGGCACCTGCCTACTGGGGTGTGAAGGAGTGTGAAGGGCAGGTCTGTGGGCTTCATTCAGCACCTGCGTTCCTGAGCACAGGCCTCAGGTGTGGTGGCTCAGGGCCATTTTGACTATGAGCATGTGTTTGTCCCCAAAAGGCCAGCTCAGAGAAATGGAATTCAGGGATAGTGGCTCTTGTTTCAAAGCACTCCTGACAGAATGGATACTGTCTCTTCCCCTGAGCTGGCCTGTGGCTGCTTCATAAAGAAAGTGTAAGGGCACTGACCACCAGGAAATGTAATGTTGATGCAGAGCTGCAAAGAGTGGGCAGGGACCCCAAATTTAGAGGCCTTGTTTAGCAGGCTTTCCATACTCCACAGGTATGAATGCTGTTGCTTGTAAGAATGAGCCTCCACCTCAGAATAACAAGGTTTTCTTCATGATCTATGCCTGTGTGTGCCTTTCTTTTAGAGAGCATTCATGTCTTGTCTTTTCCTTAACCTTTCTCTCATACCAGGAATGAAAGACAAAAAGCCCAAAGACATTTTTCAGAATAAAGAAACTAGCCAGTAAAGACCCAAGAGTACTAAGCTGCTATTAGAGAAGGAATCCAGCCTCCCAGAAATATCAGAAATGTATTCTAGGAAAAAAATAATAAGTCATTTTCTCGGAGAAGATCAACTACCAGGAGCCATGTGCACTGTGGCTTCCTGAGGTGATAACCTTCAGGTGATCTAGAGGACCTGATGCCCACAGAAGAATTCACCTGATGTAAACATGAACAGGCAGCACTGTTAACTGCTCAACCTCTTCCCTCTATCTGGACCACACACCCCCAAGCTCCCAGGGCCTGTCCCCTGTCAACACATCAACACAAAGCGGCAAGTCTCTTCTTGTCACCCTAGTAGTTCCCTGGGGATGGGCTCTGTCTCACCCCTGCTACAAAATGGGGCCTTGATGAAGGGTTGTTGTCCAGACATGACCCATGCCTATGACAAGGCATAAGGATAGCTAAAATGAAGAGCAATTAAATGGTCCATTTGTTTATTCAAGAGAACATTAAGATAAATACACCTCAAATATTAAAAAGTTTTATATACAGGAATGACCACTCCCCAACAAGTTTGGAAAGACCAAAAAATATAGTACTCCTAGTATTCTGAAACCCTGGATGACCAATGAAGACAGAACTAAGTCTTTGATGCATTTTCTTCAACACAGTCAAAAGATATTGAATTTATATCAGTTTGGCCAATGCTAGAAGAAAGAACATGGATGTGGAGATTATGCTGAAATCCCTTTTCCAGTGTTGGTCTGAGCACCCAGCCTTCACCTACAAGACGCCACGGGCATCATTTCCGGAAGCGCTTGAAAAGTGGGTGCACATGTTTGGTGGAAGCCTTGCTCCGTGCCGAGTGGTACTCCATATACACAGTATCATCAGCCCCTGACATGGAGCTCATCGTGCCAAAGCGCCGGGATACCTGTGGAGGACCCAGCCTACTGTTAGTTTCCAAGGGGAAAGACAGTCCTTTTATAATATCTGTAATAAGTTTTATAAAATTCAGAGTTAACAATTTTTATTATTTTTAAAATAACATTTATTAACCACTTACTATGTCTCAGGCAGGGTTCTAAGCAGTACTTACATGTATTACCTTATTTAATCCTCACAACCATTATAATCTCCATCTTACAGAAAAGGAAACTAAAGCACAGAGAGGTTAAGTAACTTGTAAAGATCACACAGCTCTCAAAGAGATGGGGCTTGAACTCAGGCAATCTGGCTTCAGATTCCCTGGCTACCCTGCCTCTCTTAATGACAATTTCTGAAGAGACTTTTTTAACAATGAAGGAGGAAGTCCCTCAAAATTTCCTGAGACTCTACCATAAGGCTTGGAATAAAGGAAAAAGCCAGAAAGCTTGGGCTTAAATCTTGGCTCTACAACTCATTGGGTGACTTGGGCAAATACTGAATGCCAGCACCTCAGTGAAGTCATATGTGAAATGGGGATAACCACATCTGCCTTGACATACATGGTGTGAACAGAAACCACTAAAGTCCAGGGTTTGACCAGAGCCTGGCACACCACTCACACCAGATTACAACAAAGTATGCACATAGGCACTAAAGCAATGCCTTCGACAGCCTGACTGCAGGTGACCACTGTAAGGTGAGACTGACCAGACCTCACCTTAGGACATGGTCTGAAGCAGGAAGTTTCCCTGGGGCTTCCATGTAGAATGCCAGAGACAGATCTAACCCCTAAACCCCAGGTCTGAGGGAGAAAGGTCTCAGGCTGCAGGAAGGGCAGCACCTCCTCAGGTGCCATTGTTTCTCTTCTTCCTTATTCCAGTCATTGCTCACCTTTCAGCTCTAATACCAATTTAGTTTCAAAAACACCTAACTAAACTATACTTCTCTCCTTGGAGGGCCTAATAACAATTCCCCATACTGATACTTTCATTAATTATACCATATTATCTCTGCCTGTCACACAGTAGGCATTCAAAAAGTATTTGCAGAATAAATGAAAAGTTGAGTATTTTCAGAGAACTCTAAATTTTTCAAAATAAGTACTGAAACTATAATATGAGTTGAGTTAATCGTCAGCATGTTACATGCTGGAAGGCTCAGCTCGATGACTGAGGAGGAGACCAGATAAGAAATGACTTGCCCAAGGCCTATTACACTCCCTGTAGCCATCTAGTGAGAGCCTGGGGTCATGTTTGCCATCCTGGTCTCCAGCATCAAAATACTAACAAATACTTACACCAGACGGCTATGTGAATGGAACAGGAGACCAATTACAGCCACTGTGGGCTCTGCCATGTAAAACAGTATGTAGAGAAGAAAGGATACATACCAACAGGTTAACGTGTTGTTCTTATTATTCTCTTCTCTACAGATTCCTGTGTTTTCCAAGCTTTTCAGAAAATCACACAGACGCACACACATACAAGACTGCACATGTGTGTGTCTAAGAATTCAGTCCTTCAGGAGAACTGACGCCTAGAGCCCCACCCACTCACTCACTCACCTGGCTGGATTTGGAGCCAAATTCTCCTGCCACCACCTCTTCCTCAGCATCCAAGTCAGTGGCTGCCAGAACTTTCTGTAAGAGCTGCTGCTGTTCTTCTTTCATTGAAAATGCCAACTCTTCCTCCTCCATGCCAGCAAGCTTTGTGATGACCTGCAAAGCCGAAACCAGCAGGAGGTATGTCCCCTTGTTTTCTCTCCCTTGGCCCTACCCCACCTTCCCCTGGTTCACTTGCTCTGGTCACTTCCCTCCCTTAGGCCCAGTGGAGCAGGTAGCTAACAGTGGAGAGCTCCTTTGGGCAGTCCAGAGACTAGCTACAGGAGCTGCCTTCAATAGGAATATAATCAATGACTGCAAAGCAGGAAAGGTTAAGAAAATTCCAGAGAAATCTGCCCAACACACAGCTGGTAAATGATCACTTACAGAAGATCAACAGAGACCTTGGCAATTTTGAAACATCTGCTCTGGTAGTTTTCCCATCTTGTAGGTAAAAGGACCAGAGACTGAAAGGCACAACCTGTTGCCCGCCCCCAAGAAAGGCCTTCAACCTCCTGGCTTGGACCCAGGGCTTCCAGCAGGAGGGAGCACTTACAAATAACAAAATGTCAAGAATGGATTTACAAGATGTTTTTCTAAAACAGCAAGATGACAGCCTGGTGAAGATTTGATTTTCATTTCTTTGGAGATAACTTACTATAAGGCCTACCTATCCCTGCAGAAAGCTTGGAATGACTACATAAAGGGGCCTTTTTTCCCTCTAATTCTTCTAATTTTAATTAAAATTCCTAGAAGAAAAAACCTGGCTGAGCTCTTTTGGCATCCACAGATGTGGAGTACAGATATGGGACACTCTGCCTTGGCCTGGCCACCCCTCCACAGTCATGATTCTAGGAACTCTAACTTGGCTGCTCTCAGTGGCAGTACTAAAGGCAAGGGAGACAAAGGCAGCTCCAATCAACAAAGACAACTTTGTGCTCAGATGCCTTTAAGTCGACTGAACCTTTCAAAGAACCCAGAGCACTTCCTGACTTGGTGCTTCCCCTACCCTAAGACTTGGAGGCATCAAGAGGCATGAATGCTATCATCAGCACGTCTTTTACAAACAGATAAAAAGGCTATAAAAAGGCCACAGTGAGAATCCTTCAAAACTGTCCCAAGAGTCCTGTTCTCTAGGCCAGCATGGGAAGTCTGAAAAGTTTCACTGCCTCTGGCTAAAAGAGGTGTCAGACAATCCCATTCTCTTGTTTAAGGCTAATGACGGAACACTCGCCAACTTGTAAAGACACAATCTAAAGTATCTGATAAGGCAGCTCATAGTCTTTCTCAAATCAAGAACCTGGGAACCTATATACACAAGTTCTAGTGAGGTCCTTTTAGTCCCTTGCTTCCAGTATCGTCCACCCACCCCCCACAAATAAAAACTCTTTGAGACACTAAATCCTGATATAAACTTACTATTTGTGTCAGTAAGAAAAAAAGCAAAGCTCTCAGCCAGTAAAAGATAGCCAAAGCTTTATTTAGAATTTCCCAAGTTATTCAAATACCTGACTTGTAGTACAGTGGATGGCTGATGTCTGTGAGGCCCACCGAGGCCCAGGCTCGGCAGCTAACTATGAGAAGAGCTGTCCCAGCCACCCAGAGCGGGCAATCCCTGAGAAAGTAATCCAATTCAGGGGCTCAGACTAACATAGTGAGGGCCACCGTTCCTAGGCACATGGAGTCCTGCTAGGCTTGTGCATTTTCCCATCAACATCTAACATCCTTTGCACAAGGCGACTGTAAAAAGTTAACAAGAAAGCCTCTTGCTTCAGAGGCCCCACTCTTTGACTATTCACTGTGGGAAGTTGGAGGCAGGAGACCCTGTACAATATTTTCCCTCAAAGCTCCCTAATATTCATGCAAAGACAAAGGGAATCTGCGGCAGGGCCTCCAGTCCCCTAATGTCGTGTACCTCCCTGAGCTCTGCCCCATGATGGTGCTAACAGTGACCCCACTTCTCCTGGTGGCTTGGGTACAAAAAAGGCTGTGGTCCTACTCTGACTTGAGACCAGTGGATACATACCTTGAAGCTATAACCCTGATCTACCAAGAACCTCTGCCGCTTGGTTGAGTAAGCCATTTCCTGTGTGTCCTGGGACACCAACGAGTAGAAGAAGGCATTGTACTCCTCTGCAATCATCCCTGGGGAGAGGGCAGGAGAAAAGATATTAGCTATGAAAATGTCAGGTCCAGGGCTCAAAAGCAAGTAATGCAGTGGAAGAACTTTGCTATTAGGGGATAACTGCTCCAACTTTGCATGGGAACTTCATCGAATTTAAAAACTTTTGTGCTTCAAAGGACACCATCAAGAAATTGAAAAGACAACCCACAGAATAGGAGAAAATATTTACAGAGCATATATCTGATAAGGGATTTGTATCTAGGTTATATAAAGAGCCATCACAACTCAATAAAAAGCCTAATTACAAAAAAAGTAAGAATCTGAATAGACATTCCTCAAAAGATATGCAAATGGCCAATAAGCACATGAAAGATGTCCAACATCGTTAGTCATTAGGGAAATGTAAATCAAAACCATAACAAGATACTACCTGGCACACAACAGAATAGCTAGAATTTTAAAAAGACAGATAATTACAATTGTTGTCAAGGATGTGGAGAAGTTGAAACTCTCATACATTGCTGGTGAGAATGTAAAATGATGCAACCACTTTGGAAATCATCTGGAAGTGTATTAAAATGTTAAACACAGAGTTACTACATGACCCAACAATTCCACTCCTAGATATATATCCAAGAGAATTGAAAACATATGTCCATACAAAATTTGCACATAAATTTCATAGCAGCATTATTCTAAGACCCAAAAAGTAGAAACAGTCGAAATATCCATTTACCAGCTCTATCAAATTTATTAGATGAATGGATAAATAAAATGTGGTGTGTCCATACAATGGAATATTATTCAGCAATAAAGAATGAGGTTCTAATACATACTTCAATATGGATAACCTTTTTGCAAACATAAGTCAAAGAAGACAGTCACAGAGTTCAAATTATATGATTCCATAGATACGAAATGTCCAGAATAGGCACAATAATAGAAACAAAAAGAGTTTAGTGGCTGCCTGGAGTTGGAGGTTGGGAGGTAAGGGGAAATGAGGAATTACTGCTAATGGGTAAGAACTTCTTTTGGGGGTGATGAGAATATTCTAGATATATATTGTGGTGATGGTTACATAACTTTGTGAATATACTGAAAACCATTGAATTGCACACTTTAAATGGATCGACTGTATGGTATGCGAATTATATCTCAACAAAACTGCTTAAAAAAACAGTTCATTGATAACCTGTAAGAATTATCACAGAAACTAGGACAAAATATATTATAGCCTATAAAACCCAATCCTTCAGGAAAATCTGAATATTTTTGCTTCACAGTTCAAATGTCAGTAGGTTAAGTAAGTACCTGTGTACTGCTTCTGAATTTGTTTCCTAGTCTTGCTCAGAGATGCAAAAAGCCAAAAAATATCTTATATCAAAGATATTTGTCTTTTTTTCTTTCAGTTTTGAGATAAAATTGCCATATAGACTGTGTAAGTTTAAGATACACAGCACAACTGACTTACATATATTGCGAAATGATTACCACAATAAGTTCCGTTAACATCCATCATTTTACACCAGTACAAAAAGAAAAGAGAAAAATGTTTTTTTCCTTGTGATGATAACTTTTAGGAATTTAGCAACTTTCAAATATATCATACAGCAGTGTTAATTATGTTAATCTAAAAATAAAAGGCCAAAGTGAGAGAGGCAACAAGAATTTATGTAAAATCAAAAAGAATAGCTACTCAGGAAGCACTGATTCAGGCAGAAGCCCAAATAGTGTTTCGATTAGGAGACAAAGGTGAGGAGTATTTATGAGAAGGGAAAGGGGAACGATTACATCAGTAGAAGGAAGGCATTTCTATTGGTGCAGATAAGGTAACATAGTCATTCTAATTTTAAAGAATGTTTTTAATTTTCAGTCCGGTAGTCATAATATTTGCTTTTTTGGTATCTTTGCAAACAGTTCTTTGAGGGCACGACGTTACTTAGGCCCAGTCCAAAGGTTATCTACCTAGCCCTATTTTACCTTTACAAAGGTTTGAGGTATAAACTGTACAAGGCAGTTCCTCTGAGATGGCAGCTCTGACTCCACTGTAAAGTGGCTTCATTTATATATATATTTTTTTTACAACTATAGTCATCATGTTGTATATTACATCCCCAGTAGTTATTTACCTTATAGGTGGTAGTTTAACCTTTTGAACACCTTTATCCAATGCTCCCACTGCTAACCCCTGCCTCTGGTAACCATAAATTTGAACTCTTTTTCTATGAGTTTGGCTTTTGATTTTTTTTTAGATTTCACATATAAGTAAGATCATATAGTATATGTCTTTCTCTGACTTACTTCACTTAGCATAATGCCCTCAAGGTTCACCCATGTTGTCACAAATGGCAGGATTTCCTTTGTTATGACTGAACGGTATTCTATTGTGTATATATACCGCATTCTCTTTATACTTTCACCTGTTGATGGGCAAGCAGATTGTTACCATGTCTTGGTTATTGTAAATAATGCTTCAATTAACATGAGAGTGGAGATATCTCTGACATAGTGACATCATTTCTGTCAGACACACACCCAGAAGTGGAATTGCTGGATGACAAGGTAGTTCTATCTTTTTAAGGAATCTTCATACTCTTTTCCATAGTGGCTGTGCCAATTTACAATCCCACCAACAGTGCACACAAGAGTTGCCTTTTGTTCACACCCCTGCCGCCATTTGTTCACACCCCTGCCGCCATTGGTTACCTCTTGATTTTTTGATAACAGGTGTGTGGTAATATCTCATTGTGGCTTTGATTTGCACTTCCCTGATGATCAGTGATGTTGAGCATCTTTTCATGTACCTGTTGACCATTTGTATATCTTTGGAAAAATGTCCATTCAAGTCCTTTGCCCATTTTTTAATTGGATTTTTTTTTCTTTTTTTTTTTGCTACTGAGCTGTATGAAGTCTTTATACAGTTTGGATGTTAACCCCTTATTAGATATATGATTTGCAAGTATTTTCCCCATTCCATAGGTTACCTTTCCATCTTTCCCCATTCCATAGGTTACCCTTCCATTTCTTTTGCTGTGCAGAAGCTTTTCAGTTTGATGTAATCCCAACTTTTTTTTTTTTTTGCCTGTTGTTTTAGGTGACATATCCAAAAAACCATTGCCAAGACCCACGTCAAGGAGCTTTTTTCCATTTCCCTATAGTTTTATGTTTTGTGGCCCTTCATTTAAGACTTTAATCCATTTCAAGTTAATTTTGTGAATGGTGTAATATCAGAATCTAGTTTCAATTTTTTACATGCAAATATCTAATTTTCTCAGCACCATTTATTGAAGAGTCTATCTTTTCTCCATTGAGTATTCTTGGCTCCCCTGTCAAACATTAGTTGACCATAAATGCTTGGGTTTCCTTCTGGTCTCTTGATTCGGTAACATTGGTCTATTTGTCTGTGTTTATGCCAGTACCACACAGTTTTGATTACTACAGCTTTACAACATAGCTGGAAAGCGTAAACTGTGATGCCTCCCACTTTGTTCTTCTCAGGAATGCTTTGGCTATTTGGGGTCTTCTGTGATTCCACATAAATTTTAGGATTATTATGTTCTACTTCTGTAAAAAATGTCATTGGAGTCTTATAGGGATTACACTGAATCTATAGATGGCTTTGGGTACTATGGACATTTTACCAATAATAATTCTTCCAATCCATGTACATTGGATAGCTTTCCTTTTACTTGTATTTGATTTCTTCATAAGCGTCTTGTAATTTTCAGCGTAGAGATTTTTTTCACCTCCTTGGTTAAATTTATTCCTAAGTATTTTGTTTCTGATGCTATTATAAATGGGATCATTTTATTTCTCTTTCAGATCATTTATTGTTAGTGTATAGAAACACTGCTGGTTTTTGTATATTAACTTTTATATGCAACTTTACTGAATTTATTGATTAGATCTAACAGTTTTTTGGTGGAGTCTAGGATTGTCTGTATATAAAATCATGCCATCTCCAAATAGACAATTTTACTTCTTCCTTTCCAATTTTATTGCCTTTCTTGTCTGATGGCTTTCATTAGGATTTCCAGTTCTATGCTGGATAAAAGTGATGAGAGTGGGCATCTTTGTCTTGCTCCTGATCCTAGAGAAAAAGCTATCAACCTTTCACCACTACTAGTTTGACAGCATCCCATTACTAGTATTTTACTGAGAACTTTTACATCTATATTCATCAGGAATATTGGCTTATAAATTTCTTTTCTGTAGTATCCTTTTCTGGCTTTGATATCAGGGCAATAATGGCCTTGTAAAATGAGTCAGTATTTTAAAAGAACAAAATTCTAATCAAATTCAAAGGGGTTTTCAAATTAGTATTTTTTTATAGTGAAGAATAAGGAATAAGTAATGAATTACTTTCATATATGCTAGTCAGATTATAGGCATGTCAGTTTTTAAAAGCTACAATTTATCCAGCAGTCTACTATACTGTTATGTAAGTCTTATTCCTCATAATAGTCCTACAAGTTAGGACTGTCACTCCTACTTCAGATGGGAAACCAAGGCTCAGAAAGGCAAATTACCTGTCTGAGGTCACACAGTAGGTTTGATGCCCAATTCCAGACTTGCTATTTCTAACTTGCCCTGTCTCCATTTTAAACACAATTAGCTGCTTCTTAAACAAATCTGAACAGAATATGATTCCAACATGTCATTTTCAAACATCCTAGCAGTCCAAATGCCTCCTAAGATAACTGAATTCTTTGAGGATAGGGCCTGTGTCCTTGTCTTAGGATCAGCCTGGTCTCAGGAGGATGCCATCTCTTAGCAGCAATGTCAGTCCCTGCCATGCTCACAGCTGGGATCTGAGCCCTTTTGCTGCAGTTAACAAGCAGAGAATCCACACCTTTTGCTTCCTCATTCACTGAGTTGGCAATGCCCCTGATGCAAGCTGCCACTCAGGGCATCACTCTTCACAGGTTATGAGGGAGGCATCCACCCTGTGGCAGCCCAAGCTGCTCCTACCAGACCTTCTCCTTACTCCTAACTTGAGGTTCAAGAGACAGTTTCCAGCTCTTTCACTTCCACTGGTGGCCCAGCTCTGCCTTCCCTCTTCTATGTCTATATCATTAAGCACTGCTGTCCTGGCTCCTCTATCTACCAACACAAGTGCTCGGCTTAGAGGATATCCATGTGAGCTGCAGGCACCTGCCATGGAAAACACTCACATATTCACTCCCAAAGCGTGAGAAATAATAAGGGCCAAGGAGACCTCGGTAATTGCTTTGCTCCTTCAAAGTGTACTGAGCCTAGGAGCACAAGCTCACCATCATAAACGCAAAGGCAGCTTAACTCTACCTTCTTCCTATCTAAGGTGGTTCAAAAGGAGAGACCTCTAGGAGCAGTAAGGGGAAGAACATTTTTACCTTTTTTGGCTCGGAGCACTCGCCCTAGTCTCTGGGCTTCCTGCCGCCGAGAACCCCCATGAGATGAGATCTGAATGAGAACATTTGCTTCTGGCAGATCAAATGATGTGTCACCCACCTACAGAAATGAAGCAGCTGTGTGTCTAGGAAGGTTTTTATATATAAGACAAAAAGGGGTGGGGGAGGGGAGGAATCTACTGGTCTCAAATTTAAATAAGCTCTGTAGATAATTTAGAAAAACAATCATTACTATCCCCTTCTCTCTGTACCAGGGTCTTTTAGATGCAAGCAGGCCTCTAGGATCTAGTGGGAATTCTGAGAGCTGTCCTAAAGAAGCCATCGGGACCCACAGCTACCCATGTGTCTCAGCCACAGTCCCAGTGCCAGCTGCTAGGGGGTCAAAGACAAGAGGGCCCTATCAAGAGAGACTCTGTGAGTGATTCTTATTTTTTTGCCACAGAAATAGGTCTGCACAAAACCATCCACACTCTTAACTAGAGGCCATTGAGACCAGCAGCACATGTCGGACATGTGACCTGGTGGGAGATGTTGCCTGCACTGGGCTAGATTCTGACTCATGGTAGCTACCTCGGCTTGGGGGCTCCAGCCATCTAGGTTCCCTCACAGACATCGAAGTCTGGTACTAACAGAGCCAGCCATGATCATTTTATAGGTAAATCTCATTTCTTTTGGGCTTTGAGTCTGTTCTAATCTGAATGACTATTTTAAACAGTTGGGCCAGAGCTTCCAACTGCAAATTAAGACCATGGCCAAGCTGGGCCTGCGTGAGTTTGTACTGTGCTTACATTCACCACCCGCCACCAAGGCATGCATACTAGGAGCCAGGGCAAAGGCTGCCATGACCTGGGGGAATCTCCAACTCCACAAAGAGAACCTCATCTAAATGCCTGCTTTTGCCAGAGTAGGTAATGAACTTTTTTTTCCTTTTATAAAGAAAATACAACTTAAAATTCTTGCATCCCAAAAAGAGGAGGGAAAAACTTTACTGCAGCAAAAAGACTATATAAATTGTGCATAATACATAAAAACCTAAATCTGCTTTTTCCACTACACAGAAACAGGACATGTGGAAATGAAAAGACACGCGACTTCTCTTTCAACAAAAAATAATTCACTCCCCAGAAACCATCCAGTGTCCCCCAGGCCCTGGGGTTGCTGGGACCTAACCACCACTCTACATGCCACACAAACCTTAGATATGAAGATGGTGTTGATTTTGGGGTTGTGCTTGAAATTCTGGAGAATCTGCATCCTTTCTCCCTGGGATGTAGGACCATAGATATAGGGTCTAGAGAAGAACAAAGTTGTATTAGAATTCCACAGAATCACTCAATTATCCTGAAAGCGCATCAGAAGGAAAAGGAGCTCCTACAAAGTTCTCTCTCCCAGGAAGCTCCCTGTCACACAAGAATATCAGGAAGAAAGTCATACAAATGAGTGGCAATACACCCACCCCACTTCCTTCCCAAAATACACACACACACACACCCAATCCCTTCCCCACTGAGCTGAGGTTCAGTCACTATTCTCTTTGGGATTGCCTCTTCTACTTTTTCCTTTGTTTCTGGACTGTGCTCTTTCCTCTTTCAATGTCTCTAGATCTAAGCTTAGTGTCAATACTAAGAGAATCCCCTGGATTTCATGCAGCCCAGTGGGAGTGGCAAAGGAAATATTGCTATTTCCAAACAAAAGTTTGAATGCAACTGTTTCCTAATGACACAGGCATTCTCCAAGGAAGGAGTAGGAAAATGAGCTCCTTCCAGACTTTTCCCCACTGACCTCCTATAACGCTAAGTTCAAAACTCCCCAGTTCTCTGCCAAAGGGCACAACCCTATCTAATGGCCTCACTGGTCATCACTTCTTGGCACCTGGCAATGCCATTTCTCTGTTGTTCAGAGAATGATCTGGTTTCTGTACCTTCCTAGGGGTCAGTAATAACAGTAATGATGATGATGACAACAATAAGGAAAGCTACCAGGTATACAAGCTCCACCCACACCAAAAACTGAGCTGTGTACTATGTTAAAAAGAATCCATTTGCCCCTAGCAAGAGTCTTCACATCGTAAAAGGTAGGTTTCATTTTCCAATTTACATATGAAGAACTGAGGGGCAGGAGTCTAAGGAACCTGAACCCAAGTGTGGATGTTCTACCACCCAGGCGCATTTGCCATCCCAGGGCAGTGCCCATGGATGCCTCATAAAGCACAATTTTTGAACTTCCACACAGCACTTTCCAGCACTGTGCTACAAACTGGTAACAGGTATACCTGAGATAGCAAACCCCCTGCCTGTGGGGAAGCTGGGCAGGGTGTGGAACAGCTGGACACCCCAGGCTAATGGCCTCTGGTCACCCCAACCACTGCAAGCCTGTTATATTAGAGTGTTTAGGGCACCACACAAATCTTATTTTCTATGTGTGTCACGCTGGGTTGGGAAACTCCATTCTTCAGACTAGCTTGTCTCTTAATACCCAGGTTTTTAGGTGGTTCTTTTTCTCCTCCCCCATCATTAGGAGAAACTCAATGATGGTGAACCCTCAGTTTATGAAGGTTCCCCTATATAGGAAATGAAATGGAAGGGTAACCGTCCTTCAAAAGAGCACCTACCATTTGTTGAACATCTACTAAATGTCAGGCACAAGAATCCTCTGAGCTGTACACTTGACAAAAGAGCAAGAAAAAGTTGAGAGAGGTAAACAACACTCCTGAGGTCACACAGCTAATAGGAGTTGCTAGGAGTCAGATTCAGCATGTCAGACTCCAAAGTTGATGTCCTGCCCACTACCTCACATATGAAAGAACACAACAGTCTCTCCTGCAACATACTTTAGTGACACCTATTCCTTTTTTATTAAGGCCAGGATGAACCAAAAGCTTAGAGACTACCCGTCCCGCATCAGTCCCAATCTGCTGCATGGAGCAATACCCAGGATCTACAGGATCATTTTAAAGCAAGAAAACAAGAAAAAACAAAAAGCCAGAGGTATACTCACACATGAAAAAAGTAAAAGTCATAACTATCTTTCCAGTGTCCAGGAGCGAGCCACAACCTGTTGCCCTTCGCTGTGCCAGAGAGGCTCAGATTCAACAGTGCTGTGCAAATGAGTGTCCCTAACCAGGCAGATGCTCAAGAGGCTACAACCAAAGGACAAGCGTCTGGTGTTCAAATATAACTGTGGGGGCAGGACACCTGAGGAAGGCTCAGGAAGAATCTGGATGGAGTACTGAAATGGTGAAGTGGGGTAGTGGGAGGGAGGATAAGGAAGATGGCTGTTAAATATCACATAGTAAATACATGCATTGTCTTACTGTCCCTCTGGAATTGACACTAATGTGACACAGGCACTTGGGTAGGTTTGTGGGCTGGTGAGGACTCTGGAGGGTGTTTCCTAAGCTCTTTCTCAATGTCAGGCCACATCAGGGGTGCCTTGCCTTCCTAGTCCCTGGTCCACACAGTCTGTCTTCATCCCCACCTAGAGTACTCACTTGTCCTAAAATTCCCAATGCCAACTCGTGCCCACCTTTAGAGCCCAGCTCCAAAGCAACACGACTCTAGCCCCTGCTCCCTGGGCTCAAGGTGACCAGGCTCCCTTTCTATATGCTTTAACCTCTGACTCTGACTACCTGCTCCTCTGTCTTCCCTGGTTCCTGGGATGGGGGCCATAGAACCAAACCTTTAGATCTCAGGAAGTTCCTAAGAGCTTTGAGAAAATAACAGGCACCTTCTGCACTGTCACATGGGGAAGCAAAACTGGCTTTAGAGGCAACTCCAACTTTTCAATTCTTACTTGTTCAATCGAATGGCATATTCCTTAAGGGCAAACACATTATCAGCAAAGACAATAATCTTGTCATTCCTCCTTTCATGAAACTTGATTAGAAACTGGCAAGCTCTGAATTTGTTGGGGTTCATGGTGTACAGCAAGATTCGTTTCTTGGTTTTGATTGCCACATATTCTCTGTAAAACTCCGGAGACATTGGGCACCAAACCTGTGATACAACAAGAATCATGGATCAGTTTGCAAGTTTAAACATCACCCAACTGGAAACTATGAGACAATTCATTTAGCAGAATTAACTTTAAAACAAATCAAAACAAAACCAACAATATGTGAATTATATCTCAATATAACTGTAAACATACATACAAAATAAAACCTAATACCTAATGTTTGTTGAACCAGAATACTCTTGCATGTTAATTACATCACAAAAATTTTTAAATGTATCAATATCCAGGGAATTATTTTCATATCAGCTCCAAGTGAGGGAAACCAGATTCCCACCTCCACACAAAAGTCCACACACAGTCCTATACAGAGAACTGCACACACACTTCCTAGCTGTCTCATGAGTGAGCCTAGCAATGACATCCTAGCAATAAACACAAAACCTAGCACTCAGATCTTGGTTTGTAAATTACATTCTCTACTGAAAGGGCTCCATGGAGAAATGGCTGGTTCCAGAGCCAGGGCAGAGCAAGTACCAGATCAGTCAGAAATATCTTTCTGGGCCAAAAGGCAAGGAAGTGCTTAAAGAATGATAAGAACATGTCAAATGGACATAGAAGCCACCTTGAAGGTAGTCCTGTTAGTCACATTTGAGACAATCTTAGCATACAAATAAGAATTACAGTAACACTTCTCAGGGCCTCTTGTGTGGTAGGCCCTGTGCTTGGGCTGCTGACAAGCTAAAGCAAGCGCAGAGAAATATACTGAAGTGTCATGAGTTTTAAAAGTCTTAAGGCTGTGTATAAATTAAAACAATTCTCTAGGAGCTCTGCACTGGAACAGGCCACAAAGCCTACACTGACAGACTGAGTTTTTGTTGTGACCAGTGCCACTTCTATGTGATCAACACAGACCATTTCTTCATGCTGCCACCACCGTAGAATTGGCAGCCATTGCTATATGCCAAATTCTGTGCTGAGCTCAAATCATTAAGTTCTGCTGTTAATGTTCTCTGGTTCCCTCTGGGTCATATCCTGTTATGACTCCATTAGGGTTCTACTTCTTTATAACCAAAGCAATTCTTTTTCACAGTAAAAATTTTAAAATCCTGCATTTCACAGAATATGAAATACAAATAGCCAATAAACATATAAAAATACACTCGATGTCATTAGTGCAGAGGAAAACACAAATTAAGACCATAAAGGAATACCATTTCACACTTGTAGGTTAGCAAAAATTAAAAGAAAACAATTCAATATTATTAGGTACTGAAAGAGATGTGGAGCAACCTTACTTACCCTTGATAAGTGTTAATTGGTACAATCACTTCAGAAAACAGTTTTCCATGACATGACTAGTAAAGTGAATATCCAGAGCCTTTCACTCAAAATGCCATTCCTAAGTGTATCTGCCAGAGCAGTGGCCTTCAAATTTAGATCACTTTACATCACAAACTAAACATTCACACATACGAATAGTTTTATGAAATATATGCCCTTTATACATATTATGCATTCTAGTAGATTCTATTCTATGCTGGTTATGACCCACCATCATGATGTCACCATCTACTATGGGGTCACAGTCCACCATGTGAAAACACTGCTTTAGAAAAACTCTGACACAAGGGCCCCAGGAAACAGGTACAAAAATATTTGCAGCAATATTATCATAACAGCAAAAAAAACTAGGCTCCTAATTTATAGACAAAATAAATCAGCAGCTGTCTGGGGCAAAAGAGGCAGGGTTTCATTGAAATGATAACAAAGGAACTTTTGGGGTAATGGAAATGTTCTAAAACTGGATTGCGGGGATAGCTGCACAACTCTTTATATTTATTAAAATAAAAGTTATAAATCATGGTAAGCAGGTGAATGTTATGGAACATAAACTAAATTTCAATAAAGCTATTAAAAAGCAACTTAGCAATCCAAACATCTGTCAACATTATAAAAGATTTTACTTTTACTGCAGTGTAATATTCTATTACATAGCAAATTGTGGTATATTTGTACAATGGAATACTACAGAGCGATTCAAAGGAATCAAATAAGCTACGTTTATCATCAAAAAAATGCATTATGCAAGGAATAAAAATACTGCGCAAAAGACAGAAGTCATACAACATATATAATCCATTTCTATTCACATATACTTTAAGATTTTTTTAAAAAGCAAAGCAAAACAACATGTGTTTAGGGAATCAGAAGAGAATGACAACCCTAAGCTCCAAGAGCAGTTACTCCAGAGGGCAAATGGAGGTACAACTACAGGGGAACAGGGCCTCTGAGGTTCTGGCAACGCTGTCTCATGAGATGGATGGCAATTACAAAGACGCAACTAAAGGGTCAGGAAGCTTTTCAACAGAGCAAGTCTACCTACACATGGTCCCCACCCTCACCTTTATCCAAGAGACCACTTTCCGCCCTTTCAGAACAAAGGCTACCCTACTCTAACCACTGAGGGGGACAGTGCTTTCAAGGTGCCAGAAAGGATTTCTGTTATTGTTCCTTCTGAGAAGACTTACCTTTGAACATGTATTTTTAACACATATTTGTACAGATATTCATTATAGAACAATATCAGTAAACTATGTTCTTAGAAATAAAATGATCAAGGCCACAGGTGCCTTCTGGGGGCACTGAAACCAACAGGCTTTGGCACAGGGGGGTGGCCTGGATGACTGACTGCCCATGCAGGACCACCCAAGAATCCCTCAGGAGTGAAGGTGGGTAGGAACCCTCTGAAGTGCTCACTCCCAGAAAGGAAAAGGAGCGTGGACTTTGAAGCCGAGCCAACCTGGATTAGCATCCTCATTTTACCATTTACTATATGTGCCCCTGCATGGTGATTATGTATCACACATCTGTGAAGTGGCAGAATACCACCCACCTCACAGGGGACTGAGGGTACTACATGAGGTGGCAGCACTTTGCTCAGGTCCTGATCTGGGTATCTGCCCACGAGGAATCAACCTGATGATTTCCTCCAAACCATGAGAAGAGCCTCTCCCTGAGAGGCCTGTGCAAGGAAGAGGACAGCTACCTCAGCACACTGGACTTTGGCGATATAGCCGTTGTTCTGCAGCTCCATCCAGTTGGCTTCGTACAGCTTGGGCCCAATCAGAAAATTTAAGTCAACAATTTTGTCATCTTCCCGGACGAGGGTTGCGGTCAAACCCAGCTTGCAGTGGGCCTGCACGATGGTGAGCACCCGTCGGAACATCTTGGCTGGGGAAACAAGTGGCAAGTCACACTGTCACTTTTTTAAATGCTCAAGTACCACACAAGACCTTGTGACTTAACACTGGCTCGTGACGCTACATGGGCTAACCTCCAAGGTTTCTGGATCACAGAAACCTGGCTCTAGACAAGAAGGACCACTCAGGAATATATAACCATCACTGCTAGACCTCTTCAAAAGAAGGATGAAAAGGAGAACTAAAGGGAGAAACAATTTGCAGGAAGCTCCAAATGAACAAATCCAGTATTCTCCTCACAACAGCTGAACTGTCAGTAGGAGCACCAATGGCAGTTTGAAACATGAGCTACAATGTGTCATTGAGCTCTGAATTATGCAAGGGATTTGTTCACCCTGAAACTTAGATTACCAGGAAGATGGTTGGGCATTTTCTCCACACTCCTCCAATTAGGTTCATTCTGGTTAACCAGTAACTTCCTCTGAATGTTAACTTTCCTTTGACCATTATGATTCTTTCTGATTTCTCAAATTAAATAAATACATAAAAAAAAATGAGATCATTCATTTTAAAAGACCCGATTTATGGGTTTCCATGGGCTTGCCATTTAAAAATTCTAATAATCAACTCTTGAACAACATACGTTTGAACTGTGTGGATCCATAAGGGATGACCGTATTTTCGATCCAAGGTTGGAAATTCACACATGCAGAGGATCAACTTAAGTTTGACACCGATTTTTGATTCATGGGGATCAGCACTCCTAACCCCCAAGTTGTTCAAGGGTCAACTGTACTCTGAAGGAAAGTGAAAACGTTTGAGTGTGCTTATCTTACAATACAATTATAAGGTTAATGATAACAGCAATAACAATCTGATGAACAAGAAGTCAGACCACACCAAAACACAAACCAAAAACATAAGAACAGTGAAATAAGGGCTGTCTAACCCCAATTAAATGGCCAGGTGTTACAGAATTTCACATACTGAGGCCTAACATAGTTTTCACACAAACAAAAAAAACAGTGTCAAGGTTACTTCCAAGGACTGTGCCAGCCCTGTAAAAGGGTAGCCAAGGACCTCAGATCAGGTTCCCCACATCAGAAGGACATGGTAGCCACAGCACTGGAGACACCAACCTAACATGTGCTCTAGGCAGGCAGCAATGGAGATGGCCCAGGGATTATCAACACCAGGCAAGCACAAGTTCGACCCTGCCTAAGCACTACAGCCAGAAACAAGCCCACCAAGGAAATCTGCCCTGCAAATCAGTAATGTCACTTACATTCTCTTACAGCCACGATGGCTATCACAGGGAAAGAACCCACATACAATGAAGTGCATGGCTCAATAAATTTTTACACCGGTACATACCCATGGAACCACCCAGGTCAAGATCTGAGTGTTCTTAGCACCCAGAAGTCTCTCCTCTGACCCCTCCTGTCAACACCAGCACTCTCCCTCAAGGGTACCACAAGTCTGACTTCAGTCATCAGCAAGGACATGTGCCTCCTTTTTGAACTTCATATAAATTGAATCACAATATGTATTTTCTGTGTGTGGCCTGTTTCACTGAACATTGCGTCACAGCTGTCATCTGACATTCATTTGCGATTGACTGTCCCTTCCACTTGTCTCCAGTGCAAATCACAGTGCCTGCTACTTAAAAGCTTCTCAATAAATACTTGTTAAAATAAAATTAGCACAGTGCCTTTCATGCAGTAGACAGTTAATATATGCAAGTACTGTAATAAGAATCTATCATTAATATAATGACCTAATAGGGCTCCTTTTTGGAAGATCTGTAAAACACAGCAATCTTTAAGTCTCAAAGATTTATCATTCTACCTATTCCAACATGGTAAATGTGTTGAACAGTCAAGAAACTCACTCTGATTTGCTAGAATTCCCTTATTTAACATTTGCTCTCTGGCCTGGTGAGCAAGGCCAGGCCAGGCCACGTAGCTTACAAGGCTGAACTCGAAATCCTTTAGAGTTGTTTGGTTTCACTCTTCTGCCCAACCAGAGACAAAGTAACTCAGTGAACCACAGGAGAGGGACAGACACAGATGGCAAGTATGAACTATGTGGGACACTTCCCCATAACCTCATCATCAGATAACCAATCTCAAACCTGGCTGCCACCCTCTGGGGCCTGAAACCTAGGACCCAGGTTAAAGAGAAGCATCAATACATACTACATGTATACTTGGGCAAAAAGCCTTCCTAAGCTTCAAACACAGATGTTATAATTTTCTATGTCAACTTCCAATCCAATCAGACCTAATATCGCCCCTCTCTCAAATTTTTTTCCTTTTAGTTTAGTTTTTAAATTACCACACAGTAAAACTGACCATTTTCGGAAGTGGGGGGATTGGTTCTATAAATTTTAACACATGTAGATTTGTGTAACCACCACAGTCAGGATACAGACCAATCCATCACCCCAAAAACCTCCCTCGTGCTCTTTTATAGTCACACCCTCCCCTACCCCACCCATGGCACAAACTGATCTCTCCTCATCACTATAGTTTTGTCTTTTCAAGAACATCCTATCAAAGGCATCACAGACTATGCAATCTTTGAGATGGGCCAATTCAGTCAGCATGCTGCCTCTGAGATTTGGCCAGGTTGTTGCATGCAGCAAACAGTCTGTCCTTTTTCACTGCTCAGTAGTGTTCCAGTGGACAGATGCACCACTTGTCTCTTTAGTCACCCACTGACACGCATGTCAGTTTTGGAGATTATGACTAGAGCTGAAATAAACAACCACATACAGGTTTTTATGTGAACCTACATTTTTACTTCTCTAGGATGAACACCCAGAGATGGGACTGCTGGGTGATATGGTAATTTTCTAATAAACTGCCAAATTTCCAGAGCGACTGCATATTTTATACATCATCTTGCAATGTATGACAGTTCCAGTTGCTCTGTACTCTGTCAGTAGTGTATTGTCAATGTTTTTTATTTTAGCCACTCGAATGGATGTGTAGTGGCATCTCGTCATGGTTTTAATTTGCATTTGGTCTATTCTCAGAATGGCAGCCAGGGTGATAGCTTTCTAGCATTAAAGTCAGATTGTCACTTCTGCTCAAATCCCACAAATGGCTTCCTATCCACTCAGAGTACAAGCCTTACCATGACCTACAAAGTTCTACAGGATTTGCCCCAACACGCTACTCTGCTCTCTCCTCTCCAACCTTGGTTCTGACTACTCTCCTCTCTGTTCCCCTCTAGCCACAGTGCCACCTTGCTGTTGTCAGGCCATGCCAAGTGCTTTCCTGCCGCAGGACTTACACCTTGTTCCTTCCACCTGACAGACCCCTCATTTCTACCTGGCTTGCTATGAAGATCTAGGTATCTTCAGATACCCAAAGGTGCTGGAAGAGCTCTCATTACATACTCCCCAAAAAACAGATGCTAGAGCCATTTTGACAATATTTTGAATACTCCATTGCAAATGTCTCCAATCTCATTTCATTCAGAGGATCTCTAATTGACATTTCGCTTATCAGGGCCCCCCCTTAATTTGTTTTATCAAAAAAGGTTTACCTGGAATACTATTCAGCAATAAAATAAACACACACACTGTCAATACATGTTACAACATGGATAAACCATTATGTGAAGTGAAGAAGCCAGCTAGAAGAACATATATGATTCTGTGTTTCCATAAAAGGCAAGGCTATAGGGATAGAAAGCAATTCGGTGGCTGCCTGGGGCTAGGGATGCAAAGAGTGATAATGAGTGTGAGGAAGTTGTAATGATCCACGGTGATGGCTGCACAACTCCATAAATTCACTAAAAATTTTGAATTGTATACTTATAATGGGTGAATTTCACAGTATATAAATTATACCAAATGGCTGTTTTTGAAAAAGGATTGCCTTCAATACTAGGAGAAGAAGGGCTTCTGTGACATATTAAGGATCAATACTATAGCCTTCAAATAAAACAACACTATAGCAAGAGTTCCTAGTCATTTTCACAGGGCCATAAAAAATATAGGTTATGGGTAAGCTGAACTACAACAATAATATGGAAAAAGAAAAAAATATCATTTTCTAAAGGACTACTCTAGGCCAGTGGTTAAGGAAGCCGTGAAAGTGTATAACCATCCACCACCTTCCTCACTCCCGCCACCCCCATGCTTAAGACTTATTTGAAAGCTTCACCCAGCAAGTCTTTCTAACAAGACAGATGCACTACACAGCAGTCCCTCCCTTAACCCAACAATTAGAAATCAATTTTTGTCCATCCAGTGAGTGGGTAGCTCAGCTCTCATCCTACTTACCTGGTATGGTGTGTACTTCGTCCAGAATCATGAGGCCCCACTCTTGAGTTTTGAGCCACTCCATGACTCGCTCAGCCTCCCAGGACCTTTTGGTGGTGTGGCCCAGCATGGAGTAGGTGCTAATGGCAATGGAGCAGCCTATGGGTTTGTCCTTGGCATCAGAGGTGAAGCGGCAAATCTGGCTGTCATCAATGGTGGACCACATCTTGAACTGGGCTTTCCACTGCTCCACAGACACAGCTGAGTTGCCCAGAACCAGACAGCGTTTTCTGATAGTGCATGCAGCTGTCACACCAACCAGGGACTTCCCAGCACCTATGAGAAACCAAAACATAATCCTACCCAAGGCCAGGTTGAAATGAAGGGCAGACACACGGAATTACTCACGAATCTGGGAAAACTATTTATACAAATCCTCAGAGCTGACATTGCAAGGCACTTACTGTTTTCTTCTTTATAAAAAGGAGACGTGCCCACTTTACACACAAATGTAAGAAGTAAAAGAAACAAGTGCCGGGCCCTATTATAGCATTTTACATGCATCTTGTTTAAATGTGGAAATCTCAAAACAAACCAGAGTTCAGAGACACTCCTATTATTGCCATTTTAAACATGGGAAAACTAAAGCCGAGACACAACTTGCCCAAAGCCATGGGAAAGTGGTGCTGCTGGGGTACAATGTGCCCAGTACACAGACTGCACAAAGGAAGGACTCAGTAAAAGACAGCTGTTATGATTACACAACGAACTGGGCTGAGAAGTCAGAAATGCAGTTAAGTGTGTACAGTCATGGCAAAGACAGAGAAGGTGAAATTCCAGGAGCTTTTGCATTTACTACCACCCACCATTTGAAGATTAAGATAAAAATCAAGCTATTCCTTTAAATAGCAATTCTTCCTTTACCAGGAACATGCATCAAAATCACTCATAGAGCTTTTAAAAAAACAGAAAGAAAAACCTAAAGGAACAGGCCCCTCCCCCGGAGAGTTTGCCTCAAGTCTGGGACAGGGCCAGTGGGTGAGTCTGTTTTAACTGCTGGCCATGAACCTAGGCCAGGAGTTGACATGACTTAGGACAAATGATATCAAACAGGTGCCAAGAGGGCTGTTACTACCCTTTTGTGAATGTGCATATTGTAATAAGCAATCCAGGAATAAGCCATGTTTCTATGCTGGAGATCTTCCACAGAGACAAACCTCATAAGACAGACTGCAAAGAACAAGACCCTCTAACTCCGGTGGGCAAAATAACACCCTCCCCCACATCACCATCTCACCCCTCACGCTACTTTGTTTTTTGTTTTCTTCACTGCCTAAGATTCTACACATTGCTTAGGTGATTTGTTGACCGTCTGTCTCCACCTCACCAGAATGAGGTTGAGGTCAGAAGTGGTATTCTATCCACCATTATATGATCAATGCAGAGGTCAGAGCCCTGCACAAAGCACACACTCAAATATTTGTCAAGTCATGAATCAGGGAGTCATCTAAGCTTGGCTGCTCCCTGACCAAGTATGATTTAGAGAAAGGCACAGAGAGAGAGAGAGTGGGAAGCAGCCTGGACATCTTCTTCATTCAGGTGTCACTTACCACAAGGAAGAACAATGACTCCTGAACGTGCACGCCCATTCCCAAACATCTTTCGCAAGCTCTTCTCTTGATAAGGCCTAAGAACAGCTGTGGGTTTCAGGCCAATGTTGATATTAGGGTTAACAGAATCATTCCAGAAGTCGTATTCTGCCAACAGAGGGTACTCCAGGTGGATGCATCGTTTCTGGAGTTCCTCAATCATCTCCTGGGAAGTGAGCACAAAGGTTTTACAACCTTATTAACTGCAAAGCATGCTCATTAACAGCACATATTCCAAGGGGCCTAATAGTCAAAAGAACAACTGTTTACCTAGACTTTTGCAATTTCAGATCTTGCTTGATCTAACAGCTGGGTTAAAGCACAGAAAAACAATCCAAATTAAGAACACAGGCAAAATTAAATCTAATCAGCCAGCAAAAATGCCCTCAGGCACTGTTTCTCATGCCTCTCCAGGAACTCATGAAGGGTGACCCACAAGCATGAGGAATGGGACGCTCAGCTCTAACTACATTAGGACAATGGAGTTAGACACCAAAAAAGAGAAAGCAATTCAGGAACAGATGAGCACTCCTTCCTCTCACAGAGACTAGACTATAGAGTCCATGCAGGGTTGGACAAGCTCTTGATACCAGTTTAGAAAAGGAACCGTGGAAGGGAGGGGTTCCTTTGCTAACCTGCTTGACTTCAAAAGATACTGTCTGTGTCTCTTCTTTTTCTTCCTCATCTTTGTCCATTTGCTCATAAAAGTTATATAGGTCCATGGGGATGTCGGATTTACCCTGTGGATCTGTCACCCGGGAAGTGGAAGGTCCACCACTGTCTTCAGCAGACTTAGCAATCTGTAAGAGAAAGAAAAGATCTGGATTTGCACGCAACATTTCACCCCACTTTGACCAAGCAAGTGCCAAAGTGGTAAGAAAAGTGCAAGGTCACTAGGCTGCAAATGCTGGACGAGGAGCACCTGTGCTGCAACCCTAAATGCTCCCACCCCCAGGAGCCCACTTACAGCAGATCTGCTTGTGAAAGTCTCGGTGATGAGCTCGGTTGCCTCTCCCTCAGTGTTCCTCAGGCGGCATTCCCGAATCACTGGATCCTGGAGAAGATGCTGGATGACATCAGGGTGGGAGCTCTCAACAAAGTACCTACAAGAGAAGAGGGAGGAGGTACCTACTGATCAGTACACCATCTTCGGAATGTTCCATCGCTCAATTAGATGGTCTAGAAACAACCCTCTCTCTTCTTTCTCACACTCCCATAACCCTTTACGAAATTTGAGCTCTGAGGTACTACTGGCCATGATATAATATATGAGGGTTGTGGGCAAAGTCCTACTTTGAAAACAAATAAGCAGGGGTCTGAGCCCCAGCTCCACTGCTACAGGAAATGTAGTGGCCAACGAACAAATTTCCAGTTTTGGCCCCATCGCTTTCCTTATTCCATTTATCACCTTACTCGGGGAAGTAGGTGCTAGTGCAGAGCAGAGAGTCCACAAGTGTTAGCTTCTTAACACCTGGTGTGCAGAGGGTGAAAGTGCCTTGGATGGGCCTGTCACAAAATCCCTTACCTGTTGTGCTTCAGGACCAGCTTGACTTTTCCATAACTGACAGTACACAACTGCAAGAAGTGACAACAAATCAAACAAGCAAAATTAGCAATATGCAGCTCATTCAGAACACATTCGGTACTGGGAATGTCTTACCACCTACCAACCAAGTGAAATGTTCATGTAACTGTCAGAAAACCCAGTGTCCAATAAGGGGTCAGATCTGACTAAATTGAGCTTTTTCTACTAGCACCTTCTTTTTGATAACGAAACCTTTTTCTTGCCTGGCTAATTCTGATGCACATTTCTTATTAAAACACTGCTTAAAATTTTTATTTTCCCTTTCCCTTTCTTCCCATTCCCACAGGCCCCCTCCTAATCCACAGGTTCATCCTGCCACACCAGTATTACTCCAGCTCCCAGCACAAAGCTGGCCAGAGTGTGTGTTCAGTAATTGTTTGCTGCATAAATTAAATGCAAGCCTCCTGGCCTCCATACCAATGTCCCTATTTCCCAACCAGCAAGTAAGCTTCTTGATGGTAGAGAACAGTGTGTATTCTTCTCAGGTTCTCAACAGCCTTTAGGATGGCATGGCATGCAGCAGAGGCTGTGTGGTGGCCATGAAACACTGCCACTCAGATCCAGGTCTGCTGTCTGCCTCCACTGCTATCCTTCTGAATCTACCTCTGCACTGCACCAACACCCACATTCCTGCAGGCAGACTAAGCACAGCAGGGTACTAATGTGGGCTCATCACAGCAAGGTACTTGCCCTTCTCCTTGGGCAACCTTCCACATCACAATAAGAGAACTCTCCAGGGCTCCATCGGCTTCTCTGAGATTAAATGAATTACTGTACTGGATGCCTGTGGCACTCATCTTCTGCCATTCCAGATTTAGGAGTCTGAATCCAACTCCCTCTAGATCAGCAGGAGGCAACAAAAGCCAGTGTCCATCTCTTCTGAAAGGCATTCACCTATCTTTCAAAACAAACCCAAGCATGTTCAACTGCTCTTCACATGGAAGCCTACTCACGTCAACATCTGAAGTTTTTTTTGACTTTCCCTAATGGAAATTATTGACCATTGTCTTGGTCAGGTATTCAGCCTTAGATAGAGTTTACCATCTGTATTACTCTACTTGGGCTGCCAGATGGTGGTTTAATAACAGAAAATTATTTCTAGAAGTCCACAATCAAGGTGCCAGTGATTCAGTTTCTAGTGAAAGCTCTCCTCTTGGCTTGTAGAAGGCTATTTTCTCACTGTGCTCACATGACCTCTTCCTCATGTACATGCAAAGAGAGAGAAAGCAAACACACAAGCCTTCTAGTGTCTCTTCTTATAAGCACACTAATCCTGTCAGATCAGGAGCCAACTCTTATGACCTCATTTAATCTTAATTACTTCTTTTCTCCAAATATAACACATTAGGGGTTAGGGCTTCAAGATACGAATGTTGGAGGGGACACAATTTAGTCCATAACACCACTCACTTTGGGCTGCATTCCCAAATAACCCTGGTCAGAATGGGCCTGAAATACTACCCCTGCTGTGTGAGTACCCATTGGCAAAGAGCAGCTCATGGGAAGTGTAGCCTCAGCAAGAACACAATGCTGGATCCACAGGAGTAGCAGCTGAGGCAATCGGTTACTATGCTCCCCACACTAGATCTGAATAGCATTTTCATAACTGCCACAGTTAATAATGTGTAGCATCTGTCCCCACTATTACTACATTAACAAGGAAGGCCAAAAGAGCCCTGGCCCCCACTTGCCTTGATAAACTGAATAAGTCCATCCGGGACTCCCGTCTTGCTGAGCTTCCTGAGGTACTCAGTAATGTCACTGGTTTGCAGCCCAACGCTGACAGCTGCATACAGTGAGTAGGCAGTCAGTTTGTACTCATGCACATGGGTTGGTCGGCACACTGGCTCTGCAATAGCCACCAGGAAGTCCTGAGCATATTTGTAAAGCGGAGAGAAGGCTTCTAAGAAAATGTGACCATCAGGAGCCTGAGGAACACCAAACAGACAACAAACAAGGAAACTAATGAGTTGCAGACTATCAGACTCTTTCTCATATTATTATCTATTAAGGGTAAGCTGCCTGAAAAGTGAGCTATCCAACACCAAAGGTATTTTTGTAAGCACTCCTTCAGCCAATTTTGCGGCCTACTACTTTAATCAGATACAAGAAGTGGAGAGAACAGAAGTTTCCAAAGTCAGCCGCTGCTTCCCACTATCCTTCACAGGTAAAGCCACCGGACTGGCTGTCCTTTCGGCTAGATTTCAAATGAATGTAGAACATTAATTATTTAAAGTTGAGCAAAACACCCGCTTAGTGTGTCTTCCATTACTTTTTAAAAATAGGGGATTAAAATGTTACATAATAAATACCATTTATTCAGTAGATAAAAGTATTCCCAATACTGTGGTAGGGCTGGAAAGAAAGGGGAATAAAAGGAGGGGTCAGAGATGCAGGAAGCCCCAGCATTTCCGCACAGGTGTGCAGCCTTCTCATCTCTACCTAGGGCCGTACAAACCGCGAGCGTGAATGCTCTCCGCAAGCAGCTCCAACAGGTAGTCGCCCGCATTTCTGCTTTGGCTTCACGAACCCTGGTTGGGCCCCGCCCCGGCTGGGGGGTGTGCTTACCACCCAGAGGGGCCTGGAGGAGTGGTCGTCCTTCAGCGGCATCTGCAGCCGGTAGTCCTTGGCTCCGTACTCGTCCAGTCTGGTGCTGGACTCGTCCACCTGCTTCCCTGCCGCGGAGGGAACCGCCTCCTGGGAGTCGATGCCAGGGGCGTCATCTTCCTCTTCTTCCTCATCCTCGTAGTGCCGCTTCCTGGACTTTTTCTTATCTGCAGAGATGCACACAGAAATAAGCGGGCCGGAGCCCACGCTTCCCTACGCCCCGCCCAGCGCTTCCGGGAGCCTGGTCACAGCCGGACTCGCCAGCCCACACACTCCCAGCCAGGGCCCACCGCCTGTCGCGACATCCCGTCTCTCAGGCCCTGCCCACCCGGCCCAGGACGCAGGGCTGTCCAAAGGTCGAGGATCGCCGCAGGCCCGAGGGGCTGAGATTAGCTGCCGCCGCGCGCCAGAAGCGACCCGGACGGGGCGACTGGCACAGCAAGTGCGGACGGCCCGAATGCACCCACGCCACCTCTCACCGCGGTCCGCCCGGTCCCTTTTCCCCATGGCGCCGACCGCAGCCAACGGCCTGTCTTTCCTCCCGCCGCGGCTGTCGCTTTCAGCGGCACTTTCGATTCACCCCGGGAGGTTTCCGGCGACCACACAGGAAGTCCCGCCCCTGGGATACGGGCCGCCGGATGGGTGGGCAAGCTGGGCTATCCAACTGGATGGTCCAGCCGCCCACGTCCTGTGATGCTGGCCCAGACCTTTCTCTCTCTCTTTCTCTAGTCAGTGAGCTTTTGTTATAATCGTCAGGCATTGTTTCAGCTACTGAGGTAGGACAGTGAACAAACTAAATGCCTTGGCCTCCTGGGATTTAAAATCTAAAAGAGAATGTGGGCAGTGAACAAAATGGTGTTAACTGCTGTTAGGAGAATTAAAAAGGCCCAGAGTGACAGGCACTGCCATTTTAAATAGAGGGTCCTGGAATACCTCTCTGAAGGGGTATTATTTGACCAAAAATCTCAAGCAAGTGAAACTATCTTCCCGAAACACCAAAGAGGTGGGCCTAGACCCAGACCAGCACAAATGTGAGGGCAACAGATTTAGCACTTAAGGCTACGGACACAAAAGGAGCTCTTTAATAAATCTGAAAACTCCAGTGACAGAAAGTAACCTTACAGGGTGATAACATAACTGCTTTCGAATTAATGTCCTGGAAAAGGCCAGGTTCTCTAG